TTGTCGTCTTCCCCAAAATTAACGTAATCACGCATCTCTTTCAACAGCTGAATTAAACAATGCACTTGACACTCATTGAGATTAAGGATATTTCCAAATCAAGACAAATTCAAGCAAGTAGCAAACTGATACAATTCAGTCCTTTTTTGGATTCATTCGGCACTTTAAGAGACGGCGGAAGCATTCCAATTTCAACTCCGACAAAAAATACTCCGCAATTCTGCCATCCAATCACCACCTAACAAAACTTATCGCAATACATGAACATCGCAGATTGTTACGTGCTGGACCTCAAACAGTACTAACATCACTTCGCGATAGATTTTGGCCCATATCCGGAAAAAACGTTGTAAAGGGGGTAACATGAGAATGTATTCAATGCTTTCGAAGTAATCCAATTCCAAACCAATATTTGATGGGCAATTCACCGCAAGTTCGTTTAACACCAAGCATGCCTTTTCAAAACAGTGGCGTAGATTATTGTGGTCCATTTTTGTTAAAGGACAGAACAACCAAAAATTTCAAGGTAATTAAATCTTAGATTTGCTTATTTGTCTGTTTATCCACAAAGGCAATCCACCTAGAACTGGTTACAGAATTGTCAATCAACTGTTTTCTTGCTGCCATGCAAAGCTTTTTTTCACGCCGTGGCATAAGCTGTCAATTATTTTCTGATCATAGCACTAATTTTGTATGAGCAAAAAATGAATTAGAAAAATTAATCATTAGAAATCAAGACGAAATTCAAAGACTATTAAGTGTTCACGGAACTACCTGGCATTTTATTCCCCCTAGATCACCTCATTTCAGTGGCCTCTGGGAGGCTGGAGTTCGTTCGACAAAACACCATTTGAAACGAGTGTTAAAGGACACACCTTTAGCTTATGAAGAATTTTCAACGATTTTATGCCAAATCAAAGCTTGTTTAAATTCCCGGCCATTAACTCCTCTCAGTTCAGACCACAATGATCCTCAAGCCTTGACACCTTCGCACTTCCTGATTGGAGAAAGGCTGACAAAAATTCCAGGACCAGACTTCACACCAATACCAGAGAACCGTTTATCGAAGTTTCGAAAATGTCAGCGTCTAGTATAACACTTCTCGAAGCGTTGGTCCAAAGAATTTGTATCGGAACTGCAGCAAAGGCAGAAGTGGACTAAGTGCTATCCTAAATTGCTAAAGCCAGGTTCCTTAGTTATCATCAAGGAGGACGATTTGCGCCCAATTGAAATGGAAGCTTGGAATTGTTCAAGATCACTTCGAGATAGATTTTGGCCCATATCTGGAAAAAACATTGTAAAGGGGGTAACCCGAGAATGTATTCAATGCTTTCGAAGTAATCCAATTCCAACCCAATATCTGATGGGCAATTTACTGCTAGTTCGTTTAACACCAAGCAGGCCTTTTCAAAACAGTGGCGTAGATTATTGTGGTTCATTTTTGTTAAAGGACAGAACAACCAAAAATTTCAAGGTAATTAAATCTTGGATTTGCGTATTTGTCTGTTTGTCCACAAAGGCAATCCACCTAGAACTGGTTACAGAATTGTCAACCAAATGTTTTCTTGCTGCCTTGCAAAGATTTTTTTCTCGCCGTGGCATAAGCTCTCAATTATTTTCTGAACATAGCACTAATTTTGTAGGAGCAAAAAATGAATTAGAAAAATTAATCATTAAAAATCAAGACTAAATTCAAAGACAATTAAGTGTTAACGGAAATACCTGGCATTTTATCCGCTCTAAAGCACCTGACTTCGGTGGCCTCTGGGAAGCTAGAGTTCGTTCGTTTGACAAAAAAAACACCATCCACAACTGTAAAGCGACCAGCAGTCAAACTTTGTTTCCTTGCGAATGATAACAATCTACCATCCGTTGAACCCTAGCGGCTGTCATGGCGGCCGGCAGGTTAGGGACAAATCAGACGTTCCGGCAATGTCGCATACAACCGACACCGCAGCATTACAGCTGAGACTGAACTGTCTAATTTTGTGTTCTGTGTTCGACCCGGGTTCATGCCCATATATGGCCGAGAATAAAATCTCGCAATGTCAACACGTGTGTGTTTGATTTTTACTCAAAAATCACAAGAAATTAAGCTACGAATTTAGAGTTGTAACATTAAATGACTCAACAGAAGGACTCCCACTCACAAAGGAAATTACAAATTTGGCAAGTATGAATACCTAATAGGATCTTAGACAAACCCGAGTGATTTAACAAACTGCAAGGTACCCTTAAATAGCTACATAGGAAAAATGTTTGGGTAATATGTTTAGTGTACAAGAATTACAGGAAATATAAGACAACAATAAAGCTGCAAGTTTTACTAGAACAATCACAATAAATACTCCTTGACAATTACAAATCCTTGTAAAACTCACTGTGGGAATGTTTTCGTTTGTCATCACGCTTAGTGAAAATAAAATTGCCTTTTGGTTGGTCAAAAATTACAGAAATTATTACCGCAGAAAGTGGGGAATTCCCAGAATCAGTTCAGCTGCAACTGCAACAGGAGGAATTTAAACGATAAATCTGTAGGATATTTTTGCAAAGTCTGAAGACATTACAGGAAATTTTTGAGAATTATCACGAATTCTAGGCAACTATTCAAAATTTTGGGGTAATTTATTTGTAGGTCACCTACCTCTTTAGGGAGGTAAGTGAATACTGTAGCACATATACACATAATTTAACACTGATTAAATGGAAATAGTTCTATCAATAAATATTGATTTTATAAATCTGCTTGTTGGATTCGGGACAACCTGAGTAGGCAAAATATTATATGCACAACTTGGGAAGAAAAGATCATGTTTTTGGGCAAGTTATGAGACTGATCCATGTTCTCTATCCCATTTTTTTGTAGACTTGCATATACGTTAGTTTCCTAGTTTTGTATATTAATCACATATCCATGTAGCGTCATTCAATTTACATTTTATTTTTCAGTTTACCAAAAGATGAAATTATAAGGAAACATTGCATAACATTCCTTGCCAAAAATGGAGCTGCCAGGGAGGCTGATAGCTTTAGAAGATCATCCATATCACTCTTTTAAGCTATAGAAGAGGTGGTAAACACTTGATAAAGTAGGCAATTCAGTATCTTTTAGCTAGATATTGTGATCAGTTGTAAATCAGGTTACTTGTTGTCTGGTCATTCTGTTTGCCGATGGTACTTAATGGTCAGCCCATATTTAGAGGGCCAAATGGTCCTTTTTTTTTAACCCGACTGATAAAATTTATCAATATGTTACCAACTTAACGAGCATAATTTGTGACTGAAAATTTTCCATCTTGAACATATGACAAATTTTTGTTGATAGGGGGATGTTTTTGCGATATCTAGTACCTCAGATTTATATTTACACTTCTAGGATCACATTTCGTGAACTAAGTTTATAAAAACAAACTGTTAATGTCGATTTACGGGCACAAATTCGGGAAAAATTAGCTGCTATCGTGTTTATTTAATGGGATTTCGACATATTTTGAGAATGTACTGGCAAATGTTGCATTGAAATATTGACGACCTGGCAGCGGCCATGTTGGTTGTTGAGAGTCGCAAGGCCTTATGGGTCGAACGTCAGAATTTGCAATTAGAGCTGCCATTGGTTAAAAACAAAATTTCAAATCTCGCACATGCGCATATTTAACAGACCTTCTCAAAATTTGTTGACATAGTTGCTTCACGAGTTCCTGCACAATTAGCATAGACAGGGCCTCTATATGTGTCATAGCTATATGGATCCAACCAAATAATAATCAACAAGTTCACTGAGATCTTTTCTTAACAGCTTTGCACAGCTTAAATATATACAACTCACAGTAAACAAAGTATTAAATTGATATTGTTTATGTAAATTTCTGTTTCTGCTTAGAAAATGAGTTTTAAATAGTTATTTTAAGCCAGGCAAGATGGTATACACTTTTTTAATTCAAGTTGTTCATAACCTTACCCTTCTTAACTCAAAATCGAAAATTCTTATTAGAGACCAAAAAATATGCAGTTCATTAAAATCTAATACCAAGATAGCCTCCTAGATATAATCATTCTTAATCATCGATTCGGCATCATCACCCAAAGCTGCATGGAAAACATCTTTAAAATTTGAAAGTAGTAAATAGGGATGCTTTAGAATCGAAAGAATTGTTCAAAGATGTAAAAATATTGAGGGTCTTATTGATATAGAAAACCATGGTATCTTTGATATTTGACAGATACCGCCATCCTGAAAATATCTTTTAAAACTAAAAAAGTTGAAATACGGGATTCAATTCGATTCCATTTCGAATGAGATACTAAAAACGAATCTCGACCATTGACGGACTAAATCCCATGTATATCTCACACGGGTCAATGAAAGTATCTACAACTTTTTTTTTAAATTAATAATACAATTATGTTTTCGGGAACGAAATACGTTGACTTAAAAACCACAGGTGTGGCTTCCTCACTCAAATTTAAATGGTACCTACGGGTTTCAAAATTTGGAAATAGCAAATAGGGACGACTTTATTTCAAGTGAGACATTTAAAGTAAAATAACTTGAAAATTTTGGAAACTCATTTCTAGTCGTGTGTTAAGGACGGGGGAAATCATTTTTGTTGTTACGTGAATTACTCGATCTTGCTCTTATTGACTTATTTCTGAGGAATTACGTTTGGGTTTTATTGACTTGGATATCCTTCATCCGCCGAGGGACTTTTCGAGCATTTGAAATATCTTTTTGAATTTTAGAAAGAACCCAATGGTTATATTTTAATAATTCCTTTTGTCAATATTGAATCTATATACTGTGCTCTATGGACAGGCAAGAAGATATTCGCGTTATACGTAATTCGTGTATTTATTGACTGAACTTTTATTTCCCATTGATTAGGTGTCTATTGGTCACCACTGATATATCGATATTTCTCAAAAACTTTAGTTTTTTTGGCAAACTCTTATGGATGGGCTTATCTATGCCCACTAGATCTGCGAAATTATTTGTCGCTTACCTGTCGATGGCTATTGCTACTAAATGTAAAATCGAAGCAGTACAACAGAGAACATCTATAGAAGTCCACATATCGCACAGCTCTGGCCCCATGATCCAGTTATTGCTGATCTGAAACAAAATTGTAAAATAAGTAATGAAGAAGTAATAAAATAAGTAATAAAATAAGTGCAGAAAACTACCTTACTTCGGATAGTAAGTTATTATACTAAGTAGCATTTGCAGGAATACATATAAATTGCAACGTGTCCTGTTCAATGGTAGATTAAATTATCAGCTATGTTCTGCCGAATTTGTGAGTGTAAATTGGCGCAAAGCGTTTCTAGACAGCAAAATGAAACTACGAAAATTGAAAAGTATTATAAGACAAGTCAATAAACAATTCGTTTGAAAAAACTATATTTTAATATTTAACGTAAATATAAGAGAACTGCATAGAAATTAGTTTTAAACAACACGTAAATTAATATAAACATTCTCATTTCTCTCGTTTTTAGCATATTAATGTTTTCGATATTGCATGCGTAGTAAAAACATTTCTGCATAAAGATTAGCCATTTAACATCAACAAAAACTAAAAAGCATCCTGTATTTTGTCCAAATTTAAAAAAAACACTCTTCAAAAATAAAATCCCTCCAAAATAACCAAACCTACTATTAAAAAATTACTAATTAAAAATAAATTTATTTTTAAGACCAATTCTTATCTGCTAAAAATACATGCAGAAATATATCGGGTTTAATTGCATACTAACTGCTATTTGTGTCTGCAAATACAAACCGTGTCGACAATATTCTATAGTATAGGAATTAAAAGAAAGGTTGCGAATCTATCGAAAAAGTCGCAGAAAAAGTTATTCATTCCGCTGATACGTATTTCTAAATTCTGTTTTAAAAGTCCATTTTGTTAATGGAATTTGGGCACATCACAAAACGAAAAGCCTGAAGGTAATATTCTGAATGTGCTGAATTAAAGAACATTTTTCTTATTGTTCGTGAATTCTCTATTTTTATTGGGCGCACTTATCAACCACAATGGCCAAAAGGACTTTCGATTTGGTATATTTTTGTTTGGCTTCCATCATATTTAATGGCACGTAGTATCTGCTCCGATGTGCTCGTATTTCCGACAAGCATTTATTTCTAATCGGATAATCAATATTCGAAAAATTGAACCTGCGTTTGAAAATCGATATGATACTACCCACCACCATAGCATCTTGAAAGCTCGTTTCGCTCGTCAACTAAGGATCATTAGTAGATGGTGTTAAACTCAAAGTTGATTTGACGCGAGTTGACCACAAATTAATCGAAGCATAATATAAACAAGTGTTTACTTTTTTAGTTTTTCTAATAAGTTAAAAGCGAGCGTCGCTACCCATAACACGTATGTTGCATACCATTTTAGACCAACTACAAACTACAAAACATGAAATTAAAATTTATTATTATTACCACTGCAAACGAACAAGTTGGATATTGAAACTTCAACATATAGATAAACAGATGTAAAACACATAAATGCAACTGATACTAACTTCTAAAATTACAAAAATAATGAGACATTCAGACGTCCAGAAATTGGACAGCAACCTTAAACAGAAGAATGTTGGAACTTTTTTTTACTGAATTAAATTTTTGAAGAAGTGGTAAGAAGCTATGATACATATTCACAAAATGAAATTAATTATAATACTCCTCAATAAAATCGGAATTAAAACGACCTGAAAAAATATTGGGAACCAGAGAAGCTATACTTCTGTGTTTAGTTTCGGTCTATAGAGTTCGTCAAAATGTCAACTTTATAAACATCAAAAGAATATGAGTTCCTTGCTGTTTGCTGACCTTTGTTTGCCGCTATTAGAATTTCACTCTTTAAAGCGAAATGTAACAAATCAACTGATAAGTAAATTCTAAAAAACAACTAGATAGCACAAGACAGCAATTAAAAAACTAACCAGTATCCCCCTTGTACGCCTATCTAGATAAAGACTTTTCTGCAAAATTACAAGCAAGTACGCAATCTTAACCTAGGTTTTAATCCTGTTGACAGAGCATTTAAAAAATTAACGAATTAAATGAAATATATGAAGGATATGTTGTTGTTTGGTGGAATTAAGCAGACTATTAGAATAAACAAACAATAAAACTACATACACAAACAGATTAACATTAATATATTGTACCGACGATTTGATAACAATAGTTTTGGTTAGTTTAATTAATGGTACCATGTAAAATAGCCAGCAATCATTATAATTTATATTTTTACCCAAAGTCGACCTTTTTTGTTTATTTACACTACACTATAATTTTAATTAATGGGTTTCACAATGGCCACTCATGAATACTTTACTGTCGATTTTAGTTTATTTTACAAATAAATAAATTACATTCGCATGACACGAAGATACGTAGGTAGGTAGTACCAAAGAAGAAGGCCTGCCAAAGGGTATTAAGATGATATTAAAGATGGTAAGACTTCGTTCAGCTGATTCAGTAGTAATATGGAGAACGCAAGCATAGAGAAAACTCCAATTTCATCTTGCAATAAACAGAAAATTATCCACGGGTTAACCGCAAAAAATATTGAATTTGAATATTTTTTAATAGGGAAGGAATATTACCAATAGCAAATTTATACAAACATCGTTTTATGAAATGCGATGTAGAAGATATATATCCAACAGCAAATTTATACAAACATCGTTTTATGAAATGCGCTGTAGAAGGTATATCAGGAAAATATAGTATAACTGTGCGACTCATACGTGGATGTCAAGGAGAACTAAACCCAATAGAAAATATGGTGAAACAATTTGTTGCAAAACAAAACACGACATTCAAAATGGAAGACGATATGCTACTTTTAGATCAAACAATCGAGGAAGTAATCCTAGCAATCTGGTGAAAAGCAGTCCAGTCCAGTTTTACAAGTATTCCACCTTTGCCACCCCATTTTCAATGCTAGTGCATGGATAAAAGTAGAAAAAAAAAACATAAATTGATCCATCAAACCATGCGGGTATGATGGATGAAAAGAAAGAATTTTGCAAATAGTATCAGTATTCTGTTTACCTACCTATTTAGCTTTCTGAAATATACTTTGGGTTGTATCGCTTTTTTTTGGTGTACTTTTTCCATATGTCATCAATTTTACAGAAATGTTAATATAAAGCAGATATGACCTAGGTATGATAGCAATGTAAAACTTGTATTTTGACACCTTCCACATCCATTAGTATCTAATCGGTTTTTTGTTGCCCTCAAGTTTTAATTTTGTTATTCATCAGTTAAAAAATGCTGGATGGATCGTTTTGTCAAAATGATCCAAGAAGAAATTTTAGTCTACCCTCTTCCCAAAACGGAACTGGATTATAAAATGAATATTTCTCTTGCATTTCAATTTTATAATGATATTTATTAGCTCCACTGAAATCATTCAGTAAGTGTGAAAGCTTTCTCTTTTTACAACATTTTACAATTTTATTACGATTTTCTTCAATTTAATATACAAGTCAACTCATTTTTACAAACACCTCCTACTTTAATAGACAATAATTTCTGTTTCTCTTCACACTTTACTTTGAAAACTGTAGCTCCAAATACAATATTTTTTTATATTTTTTAAATCACTAATATCGTAGGCCTGGCACCGAATATTTTGTTTATATTTCAGCTCCAAAGAAGTTGAATTGAAATTGAGTAAAATGAACTAAATAATTCGAAAGTGTTTGTCACTGTGAAGTATAAAATTGCACGAAAATTGTGATTCCAGCATTAGGTGTTTTAAACTACAATATAATAAAAATGAATACGTCAAATATTGAGAAAATTTCTGCCCATATTTAGAATTTTAGAAATCAAACATGGACTACATTATGGAGCAGTCAATGACTTCTGTTACATACGAATTTGATAAAAACATATATAAATATTACGGAGAGTACACAAAAATCAATATTGGAATACAAGAAAAAAAGTACAAATATTGAATATATTAATGATTGCTGTAACTGAAAACTCAACATACATATAACTAAGTAATTCTTAAAAAATAATACAACAGACGCGGGCGGAATCCAGAAGATTTTTTAGTAACATTTTGTTATTATTTACATTTGTAAAATTTACTTCTCAAGTTTGTAGTTTCAGTTACGCAAAAATTTTAAAAATCCATAAAAATCTAAAAATGTAATAAAAAATAAATCAACATTACAAAGGAAACACTTCAACCGATTGGGCACGAAATTACTAACCTGTTATTATGCACGACACTGTCTTGAAAAATTTATTTGTTGTTTGTTTGTATCAATTATTCTATGTATTGTCTATTAAAAAATCGCTATTTAAAAAAGGCGGCAAGAACTTCACAGAAAACTAGCGACCAGTAATATAGCAAATTTTTTTGAGAATGCCCTTACAGAGAGATTAGGAGGAAAACAAAACATAAAAAAAATCAGCATGGGATCAGGCAAGGTATGTCTACAGAAAAAAAAAGGGGATTTGGGATTTTAAATTAATTTTTTGCAGATTTCTTTCGCTTAAAACATATTTTACAAATTTCATCCATCGCTCTTCCTCAGCTTCAGTAGGATTAGCAATTCACTAATTTCTGGTCCGTTGAACTTGTGGTACAGTGCACGGAAAAAAATTATCTGTTCTACATTTAAAACCATTGCGTAGTTACATATTGAAAAATGTTTTTTCCTGTGTGGAAAATGCATAGGTACCGAGCAGTTAGTTGGATTTTATGAACGATAGAGCATAGGTATCTAAAATATCTGATGCAATTCTTACACTCCATAGTATTACACCTTCCAGTGAAACGTCTTCTAAACAAGTAGTCAGCAGCAGGAGCCCCTGTTCTGCTTTGACATATTTACTTTTGTCTAGTTCCTCCTCTTCATCGTTATCTTCAACGCCTAATTCCTCATCATCAGCAATGGGATTCCAATTTTCAATTCAACCCTGTGGTAGAACAAAGGAAACAGCATGAATCCAGAAAATGGTATTTTGCTTTCCAAATCACGCGTCAGCAACATCTTCCACAGATATGTAATATTCCAGTGGAGCAATTTGAACGCAAGATGTAACCTTAAAACTTGTGC